GCCGTCATTGTTGTTTGGCGGGTCCGGGCTGGGGATTCGAACCTGCCACCTTAGGTGTACGTGGCTGGCGCCTTAGCCGGTTGAGCTATAGGCACTGAGCCCAAAACAGAGATCTTATTGACTCTCTACGGCTTTCTCTTTAGGACACCTGGGAAAAGTGAAAAAAGATTCACATTTGGGGGGGTTTGCTTGGCAGGCACAATGTGTGTTGGTCCAGTTACGGATGCACTGAAGGCCCTGGCTTCACCACAACGCAATACATCAATGCTGAAAAATTGCACTTGTAGCCCATGAATATGTACAATAAATAAATCACAAATGTTTTAAAAGATCTATATTGGAATTCCTGCTTTGTCACTACAAGTAGGTGACCATGAGCAAATTAACTTCAACAAGCCTGATGGAGAACAAGCAATAATACTTACCTTCTGAGAGTTAAATAGCATTCTCTGTGTCATATTCCTAGCAAGATGCTGGTGTTTAACATTCCCTAAATGTTAATTCCCCTCCTTTCCCTCTCTGTCAGGTTTTCTCTACTGTTCTCATAAAATAATAGTATAGAGTATTCACAACTAAATATGCTGCACTCCAAATGCCTCCATTTGTTCAGTTTGGATCAGAGTACCACTTCTTTATGCTACCACCAAAAAAAAAAAAAAGGAAAGAAAGAAAAAAGAACCAGAGTTCCTAAAAGACCGTATGAAACAGTTTATTTATTTATTTTCCAATTTCCTGGTTGGTCAGTGGCATCTGGCCACAATGATCCAGTGGGTAGTCATCAAAACTAAAGAAAGTGAATTTCCATGGAAAATATTTTGGTAGAAAGTTTCCACCATTCAAATTTAGCCCAGCCCTGCCTGTTCATATTCGCCATTTCCTGTTGTATTTCAGTGTTCCTTGTGGTGAGAAATTGTTACTGAAATAACATAAGTATCCCAGAGCATATGATTGTGCTTCTACTGAAAGTTTGTTTTGTTTTTTTTAAGAGAGAGTCTCACTTTGTTGCCCTCGGTAGACGTCACGGCTCACAGCAACCTCCAGCTCTTGAGCTTAGGCGATTCTCTTGCCTCAGCCTCCCAAGTAGCTGGGACTACAGGTGCCCACCACGACGCCTGGCCATTTTTTGTCGCAGTTTGGCCGAGGCTGGATTTGAACCCATCACCTTCGGTAGATGAAGCCAGCGCCCTACTCACTGAGCCACAGGTGCTGCCCTCTACTAAAAGTTTTTAAAGCAACATGGTGGGAAGGAGGAAGTGTGAAGTTTCTGTAGCAGAGTAGAAGGCTTGAATTTTTAGGGCTAAGCTCTGAGGAGAACACTGGATGTCTGTGCAGTGTTCAGGGAGATCCCCAGGGCCATTAGAACCCAAGAACACAGCATGAGGCCTTCCCCATTCATAGGGAATCTTAGGTATTTAGGCAGCACTTTTCAGGAGACAAGGCCTTGGGCCTCAGAATTTAGTAAGTTTCCAAATTGGAATCCTATAAACTTCACAGGCAAGCCCACAGAGGCTTGCGATTTCACAGCAAATTCAACAGAGCAGTATGTTGAATATGCAGACCTCAGAAACAAAGCAGCCTCAGCGAAGCATTCTCTCATTCCCTCCCCTGGTACAGCGTGTGCTTAGGCCTTCTTCATGTTTGTGCTGGCTGCTTATCCTCATCTGGTTTTTGATACAATCATAGCTTTATTCTATATGGCATCCCAAGCCCTGTCTCAAAATAATACCACCACTTCTGAGTGGATGGCTGGTGAAGACAAAAGAGGTTTTCAGAGAGCATTCAGAGCGACATGTCGCAAGCTGCAGAGGGCTACCTCAAACAAGGGGTAGGGGGCAGGTCAACTGAGAAGGCACCATTCCCAACAGAGACAAAATTGTATGGACAATTTTTTCTTTTTTTGAGACAAGGTCTCTTGTCACCCAAGCTGGAGTGTAGTGGCACAGTCACAGCACACTGTAAACTCCAATTCCTGGGCTCAAATGATCACTCTACCCCACCTTGCCAAGTAGCTAGGACTACAGGCACATGCCACCATGCCAGGCTAATTTTTACAATTTTTAAAAGTTTTTGTAGAGACAGGGGGTCTCACTATGTTGCCCAGGCTAGTCTTTAACTCTTAGCAATCCTCCCACGTCAGTTCCCCAAAGTGCCAAGACCACAGGTGTGAACCACTGTGTTCCGCCCAAAATTATGTCAACAGTTTAATTCAGCCAATGATGTCCCAAGAAAGAAGCAAGGTACACTTGAGTCCAAGAGTTTTGCAAACAAGAAATTGAAGCTTGCCCCTAAACCAGCAGAAGGGCTTGTGGGTAAATGACAGGACCATTTTACGTCTCCATGCTGAAAAACTCCCCAAAACATGAAGACCTTCATGCGATGACTAGTGCAACACAGTCATGGAGTCGGTGCTGTGAATCTCAAACTCTGGGGTGCGGAAGAACCACGTAGGAGTTTGTTAAAATGCAAATTTCCAGATCTCACCCAAGAGATCCTGTGTCTGGGGTGAAGCCTGAAATAGTTTTAAATTTTTAATTTAATTAATGTTAAATTTAAATTAATTTTTAAGCCGGGGAACAGTGCCTCAGACCTGTAATCCTAGTACTCTGTGTGGCAAAGGTGGGTGGATAGCCTGAGCTCAGGAATTCAAGACTGGCCTGAGCAAAAGTGAGACAGTGTCTCTACTAAAAATAGAAAAACTAGCCAGGCATCATGGCAGGTACCTGTAGTCCCACCCATTTGGGAGGCTGAGGCAAGAGGATCATTTGAGCGCAAGAGTTTGAGGTTGCTATGAGCTATGATTCCATGACACTCTACCCAAGCTGACAGAGTAAGACTCTGTCTCCTAGGTGATGTTAATGCTGATACTGGTCTATACACTATAGTTTGAGAAACATTGTTTTCATAGCTCCATCCATTTTTAGTCTAAAATAGACATTAACATTCCAAACCTCCTTTTTTCTTTTTTTGTAGAGACAGAG